AGATCACCATTTCCCACCCACCCCCCTTTTATAGAATTCAAGTAATATTTATCCACCGCCTATGGATTGGGTACGAAGACGACGAAGTCTTAGCGGAACACCATTTAGAACTAGCTGTTATCCAATGATTTATTATTCATCAACACAACTTCCTAGAAGAAGATCACTTTGTGTTCCACGACGTCGTTATTCATTTTCTACTCAGAGAAATGCTTATAATGAGCCTAACAAAGTTACTTTGGTTGGTAAATCCATGTCCAACAATTTTCGACCATTTTCTCCATATAACAGTACAAACAGTAGTTTATATCAAACTACAGAAATGAACAGCTATTATCAACCGAAATATAATTATATTCGCCCTCATCTGAAACCAGTGATCTGGCGTGATTATGAAGTCAACGGGCCTGCAAACAATGAAATTTTACCGACATCATTCTTACATGCTAGCTCACCTCCAAAACAGCATATTTTAACTCCGGTATTTTAATAATTTTTATTTTGTTTTCTGAGTTTATTATTGTAACTTTATACATAATTTCCTTCATCATTAACAATGTTCTACTTTTAATTGAAATTAGAATTTACGTCGGATACTTAAAACGCTCAACAGAAGAATAGAAGAGGAATAGGTTTCGCCATGAATTTGGCATTGTTCAAATATCTAATAATGCGAAATAGTTTATTATATAATAACTAAAGTATCTGAAAATTTTAATCGATAAATTTATGTTTCTTGAATAGTGGTACAGATGAATGTCAAAATTTTAATACTGAAATGTGTCATCGACACTTGAAATCATACAGAAGATATTAGGTTTTCAAATTACAATATAGAAGAGCAACTGTGTCAAACTTCATAATGTAAACTTTATAAACTTCAGTGCTAACTAATGCTAACAATAATTTCCATCCATTCATAAACTTTGCAAATGTTGTGCGGACAACAGTGAAAGTAGTTTTTGGGATTCCAGTTGTCGAGTAAATTAGGACTGACACTATAAACATTAGTTATTATTTATGTAGTAATTGAAATCAGTTTAGATAAGATTTTGTGCTAGTGGGAAAGTGTATTATCGCTGTTCTCGAGAATACAATGATGTTTATAGTAAACGTTGTTCGTTATGCCGTATTACTATATATTCGCTATATACACCATTCAGAAATTATTAAATAGCGAATCTTGTGTAAACGAAAACATTTACATCCATAAACTGATGCTACACAACTGCGAAATATAGTCTCAAGGCTGTATTTTTATAATGTGAACCATCTGTAAACTCATAGGTCTCTGACAACATATTAGTTATACTCAGCTTTACAACATTTGAGTACTTGAAGTCAAATCAAATTATCATGTAATATCGAGTCGTTAGTCAATTACCTAATTTCAGACTGAGGAAGTGAATCTGTAGAACGTGAACACTACCATTATGTCAGCATGCATCCTAGAAAGGACATAACTAATAACTCCTATAGTACTATTGTCACATCAAACATAAAACTCAGATGCGTACATCTTTGAATTTCTTTACTATGATTGTATGTATTCTTTTCATCCTTCTTAATATTTTTTTTACGGAGCAGAAAGCTCAAGTCTATCTGAAGTATCGATCTCTTCAAAACTTAAGTAATCTACATGATGATACAGATGATGTGAGTCGAGTATTGAAATAATGTTTAACTTGAAAAAAAAACCGAAAACAACAAACCAATACAAAAAGAAAACTTTATCATCCACAATGTATCATTTCATTTTGGTGCATTTTTTTCTTTCACTATGCTTCAGTTGTTATCATGATTAAGAAAAATCACACTGGCCATGAAGCTTTAATGTATGACATACACATGTTTGCAAAGTATTCAAATGCATGTGTACTTTCTTTCAAATGTTTGCGTTTTTTTTTCGTGTGTGTGTGTGTGCATTAATTAGTTAAAACAATACGACAAAAATAAAGGAAAATGACTTGGAAAGAAAGAAATTTGATTTTTATTTTCAGCCTGATTGCTTTGCTTTTGAAGGAAACTCACTGTTTTCATTCCTGTCCTCGTGGAACCAGTGAGAAGTGGTTATTTCTTCTGGTTAGTAAACATTTTAATTTCGGCTGACAAAATACACAACATACATTCATAGAAATCATTTTATTTTTGTTTCAATGTAAATGTATTTGTTTGAGGTTATTTTGAGTACATGTGTCTATTGCACAACTTATGCTTGCTTTAAGATTAGAGATATTAGAGATATTTTCGTCAACATGTTGATCATCTAAAGTAATTTATGTTCTGTTGATTTTATTTTAATATTTCTCATTTTTATTTATCATTTCATTTTAATTTTTTGTTAATTGTTTCCAATTCGAAAAGAACAATCATCTTGATTTTTCAAACATAAGTTTTGATAATGTTATGGAATGTGTTTTTTGTTTACCATTAACTAGAGCTGGTCATTAAATGCTTTGCTTTATAAAGAGATTTTTTTGTGGCTGTGTAGTAATAACAATATTTTAAAATGTTTATGATATATTAATCGGGAAAAGTTGTTGTGGTGAAAAAGTCAAAGTTGTGAAAAGTCAAGTAAATAACACCTATTCAGTGTTTTTGAACCATGATAAAAATTATTTTATCGATGGCTTGAATAAACAATGAATATTCACGGAAAATCAGAGCAAATTAATTTATTCCATAAGATTTAATAAATGTAGTAACTACTTTTTATGAACACAATTTTTCCTGCCTATACATTCTTTAGCAATAATTAATGTGTTACTTATTTGCTAAACTTTTAAAAAATGGCCATTTGATCATGTTTTTTAAAATCTCTAACGCAATAAAATGTGTGTAGATCGTTTTAATTAAAATAGATTTTTCTCATGGACTGATAACCTATAAAGAAGAATTGTATACTGACATGATGGTTTATTATTTATCATGCTTACTCTTAAGTTTGATGTTCTATTTAATTGTGTATGAACACTGATCAGTAATTAACCCAACCTAGAATTGAACACTTGTTCAATTATCACTTAATGTCTCATCTCATGATGAAGACCAATCTGAAATTATTAATAATAACAGTTTTCAATCACAAATATAAACTCAATTATGAACAGTTGATTGAATTTACACAGTTTTCATGAGTTCCGACATTGTTTTCACAAATCACTAGGAATGTACGAGATACGTTTAAATAAAAATAACGCAGTGCATTTTACCAAATTATGTTTTCATGTAGAATATTTTTTAGTAATATTCTCTTGTGCTACAAATAACTTATTTAACTTTATATGCTGATTTTATTAATGCCTTTCGATATATGTACACGTTATTTCATTGACTGATGCTAGAATATCAGTCATCAGAAAAGAAAAAAATTTTAAGATTTATGTCGTATTCCAATTTAGAATTATTCTACAGTATGCATCAGCAACCTTAAACTGAATTTAAGTCAAAGCCTACAAATCTTCAAGCAAATAGTTAATTCAGATTAGTGAGAAGAATATCAGAGCTCTACACTTAGAGATTCAGCATATTTCTCATCCTCGATACTTAAAAGCGTAGAAGTTTTATTTATGTTACCGTTTTCTGCTGGACATCATTATATTATATTCCACTTACTCATGATATATCTATCCAAGTCTATTATTTCAACTTAATTTTCTATTATTCGTAACTAGTACACATTAAACATTTAAATTAGTTGTCAATTCATTTATTTCCATCAGAATTAACCAATTATTATTTGATGAGGTGTAGATTTACACTCACCATAATATTTGTGTTTTTGACAATAATTTAACTTGATTAGATACACTTGGATCATTTATTGATCAAGTTTCTTCACATTTTTCCATTGATAGTTGACTTCTTTTCGGTTAAACGAGCACCAATTATGTTGGAAAAATCGTTGAAGTCATATTAGAGATTTTCAAATGTTATACCTTACAAAAATTCAATCTACATATGTATTTGAATCTACGATATCAGAAACAACAGATGAATTTTCGCAAAACACTAACTTAAATACCATATTTTGAAAACTAATAGTTGAAAGCCCTATTTGCTGTGTTTATTACAAAAGAGCCCAGTGGTTTCAGAACATCGGTATTCTGTTATACATTATTAAGTTTCACTTCTGTCTTTTTTGAAATACCTTATCAAAGTAACATCGTTGTCTCTTCTAATATAAAACGTGTCACTAATAATCCCATCGATATTTGAGATGATATAATCAGCATCTAATACAATAATCCAGTTGTCTATGTTCAATCACAGAGGTCTCTGTGTATTTGAAACTTGAAAGTTTAGATTTAACTTTTATTAGACATTTTTCAGCTTTCAGCAGTTTTTTGGTTATAACTATAGCCAATATAATTATCTTTACAAAATCTCACAACAGAACCAACGTAAATAAATTGTTATTTACATCACAGTCCTACAGGAGATCAGTTGATGCAAAAACTACGTATTCATTTTATTACTGTCTATGAAAATGGATTAATTGACGTCAAGCCTGAATTCCATTAAATTTACAAATACATAGTTCTGAAGAGTACCAACTGGCCTAAAATCTAGATTCATGGATTTGTACTAGAAGTCCTCAGTAACCTAATAGCAGGTAATTTTCCCTGCTGTACAGAGTGATTTTGACTGGTGATCATATTGCAACTTCATTGATGTCACTCAATCACTACCTTAAATTAGACAGAATGGTATTTAATTAATATAAAAGTAATTCATAAATCATTAAAAGCAACAAAATATCAACGTGTATTTATCTAGGAAATGATAAATAATACTAATAATCATGTTGTTAATACTTTCCAGTGTAAATGGCTCATATAGTTGATTTCCTGTGAATAAGTCGCATTGAATTGCATGTACCTGTCTACAGTTTTTATCAGTTATTTCGATAGGAAGCAGTTTAAAATACAGAAATTTTTTTATGAACTTTAGTCTACTTTTAATGTAAACGATTTTGTTCTGTTTCTTTTGAATTTTAGGAGAACAGCAGTATGCCACGTGTAATTCATACATCATACAGTCGTAACTTTCCACTGCATACAAGTCGCTTGGGTTCAGTGCCCCCAACAACGGTTGGAACGTATCGTTCAACAATTACTAGCACAGACTATGGATTGCCACCTGTTGTTCATCGTAATTACCGAACAAATCGGTATATTTATGAAACACCATATTATACAACAACATATGTGAGTAGTACATACTTTGTATAAAAACACTGTAACAAGATATATTGTTTGCACTTGTTAAAAATACTTCCGTATCGCACGTTTTTCGGTAAATACTATCTGATTATTTCATCAAAATGTTTTAATCGTTATTAATACTTTAACTTAAACAGGTTAGGAGTTTAAACGTTTGAAGATCAAGCACTTAGGAAGTTTTATAATGTGAACTTGTAGTTGCCTAAAACACATTGTATCATTCTATTTTTCTCAATAGGAAGCTTCATTTTATCATTGACCTTTAAGCAACTGCTAAGTCGAAAAGCAGTACGGACATTATCCTTTGTCGACTGATTATTTTTAGCGTTTCAACTATTCATGAAGAAATTATTTCATAACATATTCCCTAAGAAAGCTCCAAGATTTGTCGATCTTAATGTCAATCATTATTTTAACAAAAAAATTTATCTTACAAAACCAATAGGTTTATATTAATATATACATTTGATTTGATTGGTAAAAATTTTCTCTCCCAACTATTAATAGATCTGAAAGATTGTTTATGATAAGAACTAATCATGTACAGTTGTAATCAAAACATGATTATAACAGCTATAATGTACACAGTTTATATATATTTGACAAAATATAAACTAATTGAAATCGTACAGCCCTTGGCTGCTTCAAAATCTTATGATATTCATTCGTTCATTGATATTCTTATTCATCTTCAGACTGAAAAAAATATTTTTATCCAATAAATTTTACATAACTAGTGTATCTTTTGAAATGTACTATAGGTTGTTCTGTTTGTAAATTAGAATATCAACAAATAAATTCTTCTATTTGGTCATAGAACATCATTTTGTGTTTGTTTACGAGTTTTCACATTGTTCTTAGTCGGGGTTAGATTTGATGGTTATAGTTGGATTGATTATTATACACCAAAGAGGATTTAATGTTCGACATAATCATTTATTCACTGAATGGTCCACAGTAGATAAAGCGTAAAAGTTGTTTTCTAGATTCTAATTGTTTTATTCATATATATTGTACTTTGAAGAAATCAGGTTACTGTTTACTCTTGTGCAAATGTTTTTAGTAGACATGTTAAAATTTATTTATTTCTATTTTATTTTCAGTATGAGTAATAAAAAACAATAAAATTCTGTCATTTGTCATTTCATAAAACTTAAAATATGGTATTACATTCCTAGTCAATTTATCACTTAATTTTTGTGATGATTATATGAAATTCAAGTTAGCTATTGAGTTTAAAAAGTGTAGTGTTGATTTGATCCAAAATAAAAATACCGTTTTGCTTGGTCAAATAACAAAAGAAACACAATTATGCGATCTTCATGCACAAATATGAAATGTATTTAATTATTCATAATATGTGATGAAGTTAAATTCTTGGCATGTAAAAAAAGGGTATACAAATTACTTTTTGTTTGGAAAGATAAAATTTAGGAACGAAAGAAAATATCTTATTAGATTTAGTCAAGATCATACACCTACAATGCAAGATAACAACAAGAGTTTTCCATCTACAGAAATAAATATGTTCTCTAAGGTCATTCACGAGCCTAGTACAATTGAAATTTGACCATTAATCTTTAATTCACAGAATATTCTGCCTAAAAAAATGCTATAAATTGTAGAATAATTTTTATTCATTACTTTTTAGCCGATATGATATAAAATTTTAGAAAAGTTACAATGATATTAGTTTTTTGATTCAATGGATTCTCAGTGTAGCCCTATTTTAAGAGTATTTGTTGGAATTTTAATTGTGTTCTAAACTATTACTTGACTTTTTTCCGACGGTTTAGAGTAACATTGAACCTATAAGAACTACTTATACAAGTATTGGACCAAGACGTTATACTTATTATTATCCATCAGTTGTCACTACAAGACCATTGTCAAGTTCAAGTTCTTATAGTAATTTGTCTAGTGATATGCAAGCTGAACGTAGACGAATTGAAGTAAGTTTTTATTGTTATTATTATTATTATTATCTTGTTGATTGCTATTTCTAATTATTACTGAATTAGTGTAAAAGTAGTAGTAGTAGTAGCTGATTACTTCTCTCATGTATTGATCAATGGACGAGTTGTGTTATTTGAGCACTGTCTGGCAATATACCTATAAACATAAACTAGTCAAATTGAACCCTTTTTACGATGCATTGTTAATTTCTAATAACAAAAAAATTTTTATATCGATCGCTTTTTAAAGAAGCTAAATAGTTTAAAACAAGACAGATTCTATATTCATTGAAATAATAGAACAGCTGTTGTTTCATTTAGTTCAATAGCCAGAAGACAAAAAAGCAGTCGTTTGTGTTGCATAAATCGTTTAACTATATATCAGATTATAATCGTTGTCAGCCTATTAAATTTTCAACTATAAGTACAAGAGATTGCAAAGAATTTCTCTGATAGATACACCTCGATGAAGCTTTTCCGAACGCTTACACTCAGTCTTCAAAACAAATAATGTGTTTGTAATTAGGTCATTGTATACTGCATTACAACTTATTGATTCAACTTTTAGTAGATGAATCAACAGAACACTCTATAGATGAACGATGCATGCAAATAATGTTTTTCTGTCTTCCCATTTGCTACACCTTACTTATATTATTATCAGTGGTTTTGAATTTTTCTGAATATGCTAACCATATTATCAAAGTTTTCAAATAACGAAAGAGAACAATTGCATTACTGAACAAAAATAAAGGCAATCTAATGAAGAAAATTTTCTTTTCGACAATTTAATTTAGTTAAGTTGTCCTATTCATAGTTAGTTTTATTCGCAAAGATAACAGACTGTAGTAAAATCGGATGGTGTGAAATAGTAATCATAATCATAATCATAATCAGTAAACTTGAAGTTGTATCACATCACGAATTATTTATGAAAATCAAGTAGTGAAATGAAGTGACGTAATAATCTGCTAGTGAAAGCTACTAAGGTAAGGATAATTGAACCCTTAATATCTGTTTATTACGCAATAAACAGGATTTATAATATTGACTGATTAACAGTTGCGAAATAGTTGGAATGGATTAAGATTATTAATTTACAAATCGAACAAACAAATGCACAACGAAATCCCATACAAGGATTGAAAGGAAATTTAAGATAATAGAAGAGTAGGAGATTGAACGTAGTATTTCTGTAGGTAAAGGTTAGTTTTGAACTAGTGGATGGCAATAATCTCTGTTGCAGATAGATTCTTCACTTGCATTCGTTTTAGGACAACTCTTCTTACTGTATGTAAGATTTTAAAGGAAGCGGAGTGGCCAGAATCGATAGAGCGTTCGAAAATTAAGCTTTTGAATGACTTCTGCAAAATGTTAGGATGTGTTTCAAAAGAGCTCGCTATGTGTGGTCAATGTGACTCGCTCCACATGACCAAGTAAACTGATAGACACATACTGATTTGACCGAAAGTGAAAGTTTATCCTTCACACAACTACCTACCATAGGCCGACTAGAAAAGATAATACGAAGTTCAGTCGAGTAGAACCATTTCCTCAAATATCGCAAAAGTCTGTTTCTCAAAACTTCTGCTGCAGAACCTCCTTTAAACTGAATATTCATGAAAAGAATTTTCTTTGGTGTTAAAGACTTTTTTCACGTTGTTGTTTCAAATTCACACTTTTCTTATTGAATCTAGGTGGATATCCATTGTTAATCAATATTTGCCTTAGTTTTCTGAGTTCGCTATCGATTGTATCCTCATAAGGATATAGCGTTTATCAACACTGAAATTAGTATTTCTATACGCTACTTGGTTCATTCAATCTTTTCACTTTGTTAGATTTCTAAGATTGTTCATTTATACTTTTAGTTGACATTGTATGCAACAAACTTGAAATAGATTATTAATCTTCACATGACGACAGTTTATATTTGATAAAGTATCATAAACGAACGCTGGACAATTGAGATTTCGAATAGCATTATTTTCATGTTGAGAGATCTATTTTTGAATAAATAAGCCTTTACTTCCCATTTGCAGTAATGTACTATTAGATTTTATGAGCGAATGTAGAAAATGGTAGTCTATGTTAAATATTAATTTATAGAAACATTGTAAACATACGTCTTCGATCATTTTTGGCATTGTTGTGCTGCAATGTTGTTTGAAACACAGTTCTCAGTTCTATCAAAAGCAGCTAATCATCAAGTTGATTGAAAAATATTGTCCTAAAAAATTAATAGTAACAAAACTTTACTAAAAAGAATCACTAAACTTTAGTTTGTAATATCTAATACACTTTACTGATACATCTCTGTTATTTTGAAGTTGTACAGACAGATACATCCAATCTAAAAAATAATACTAATTAACTAAGTAATGATATTATAAACTGTAGACAAAAGATATATATTTGAGGTTGAAACAGGTGAATGCGTAAGCAATTATTCTATAACCATTCAAACTCATTAATTGAACTTACATGAGTTTAATGATGTTTGAAAGTGTTTTACAAGAAAAAAAACATTAGAGACATCTTTACAAACTATGCTGTGATTTGGAAGTACTTTAGTTTGTATTATCTGTTTGATTTATCTCTTTCTTTACAACAATAACATTTACACAACTTTTACGTTAAATTTTCTATAAATCTCATCATTATTTCTGAGAGAATTTGTTGGTGTTTCGATAATGCTCATATTCCGACTGATCGTTAGTGCATTCATGTTAACTGTAAAGCCTATGACTATATAAAACAACATGTCATAAATGTTTATCTAGAAAGAAAACCAAATTTTAGAACAAACACACCTCATTCTAGTTATTTTCTGACACTAATTAAACTTAATAAGTTATGTATATCTGTTAACATCTCTAAATTAATATAACCTTTAACATACTTAAAACTTTCTTCCTTTACAAGTAGACACCTGACTGATAATAAATTATTTCAATTAACTGTATTTTTTTTAAAAGAACGACCATCTTTAGGTTTCGAAAACCTTATCTTGTTACATATAATCAAGTTCATAATTTCATTATATGCAATCATGTGTTGAATAATTTAGTGGAGATACGATTTATTTTCTTTCTTGGTCTGCATTTGATCAAGTTTTTGTTGATTAATATTCAAATTAAGATTTTGTTTAACCTACAGACGAAATTTTGTTCACCTTATTGGTATAAAATGAATTTAAGTACCTTTAATAATTCACAGATAGTTATCATTGAAACTTGATCGTTTGAGTTTATTTTTACGAAGTATATTCTAGAGTACAATTATTCATAGGTTTCATGATGTTTATATATCAGTTGCATAGTTTCAGTATTTCATGAAATGAATCATATGAAATGGATTTTTTGTACCAGTCAATTCCACAAAATCTTGATTTTCCCTTTAGCTCTGATATCAGCAATAAAGACTTCATCAGCCCGAGTCTCATTTCGAAAAACGAAAATTCCCTAGATTGTATTGGTGCTTAAGGGAATGTTTCTTTGATTTTAAACTTCTGAAAACACTAGACATTTATCAATGTCACATAAAACTCACACCTACTCAGTCATAGCAAAAATCGTACTTTAATGTAAAAATTATTTTTTAACCCAAAAAAACATTTGAATAGACCGTATGTGAATCCCAAAGTTACTAAACATAAGGTTGGAATATTTAGTTCAAAACGTTCCTTGCCAAGTATTAAGATGAGACAGTTCATTTACTGTCCAGTTAAACTGTGCTCAAAATACAATAGTCTTAACCATTCAAACAAATGCGACTATATGTCATAAATACCATATTTAACTTGTTCAAAAAAATGTGACATGCAAATACAGATAAAATCATTCAGTCAAACTGTAAATTTTACATTTGCACACATTCAGATGTATTTTGGTTTACGGGGAGCATACACCTAGTGTTGTTATGTTCAACAGACGCGACAGTAGTACACTTAAACTTTCTCATATTCACTAACTAATTTACCTAATTTCTTTCTGTTACTATTCGAATTTATATCCTCTGAAGATCATGATAACATCCGACTGTGAAACATTACAAATTCATTTGTCTGCTTAGTTGATGGTTACTAATAGCAAGAATTGTGTTTTGAGAGTAGCTGTAATTGTAAGTGAATGTTCTTAACTTACATAAGTTCAAAGTTAGAATTATGTTTTCAGTTCCACTGAAACTGTTTAAATGGGATATCATCTGTTTATATGTTGAGAAACCTCACGAATACTTTGCAATATCTTTTATACATAGTCTGTAAAACAAACAGTTTGTAGACTGAACTTAATCGACTAGATCAATATGAATTGTTACCATGTTTTTATTTTACAGTGAGCGTTTTCCTTGTATTCTATAATGTCAACTAATATACACTATATTTATGTGAAAAATAAGTTTTCAAATATTTTCATAACTGTACATCGTGTATATAATTTCACGCTATTCATTAGCGTCGTATGGACAATTTATTGGATTACAAATTGCCCTCACCTGAATACTACAGGGAAATGAGGGGATCCCTACGTGCACTGAATGACAAATTAGATGCTCATCGGAAAATGCTTGATCGTTATTCCGGAATTGATATGAACGCTACAACGACTTCAGTACAAGATCGAATAGAATCAAAATATCAACAACTTGCAAGCAGGTTCGTTGAGTGGACAGATATTTCACTTTAGTTTCTTCTAACAAACGACTTATCTAACAAAATTTTATTTCTATATGTTTTTTTCCATGTACTGTTATATGAATGCTATACATCGACTAGTTTTATATAGTATGTATGTAAATAAATTCAAAATTTAAGTTTCTGTGAATTAGAACTTGTTCAGGTTTATTTTAGATTTTTGATGCTTTAACAATTATTCGGTCTAAAGACATTAAAGATTGTTTCCTATTAAGTTTCCATAATTCTGAAAGAGTAAAATCAATTTACTCTGAAATAATTTTGCGTCAGAAGTTAGTGAATAGATAAATACTGTGATATATAACAGTCTTGAAGATAGACCAAATTTATAATGAAATGAAATTATGTAACTCTGGATGAGAAAAAATGGAAGGATCTTTATGACGGACAAGAAAAAAAAATTCAGTGTCTATACATCATCGAAACTAAGTTTACTTGTTTTAGTAACAACATCAATTCACCGTTAAGACTAAAACATGAATTGATAAGATTGTTCATGAGCAATCGAATTTACTAAAATTGTTAAAAACGTCTTTTCTTATACATTTAAATAGTGTATGAAGATAAGACAAGATAATGTAGAATCACACAGCATATTTGTATCAGCCTAGACCATTTTGAATAATCTGATCACATAATAATTGTCAAAACTCGAATTAAACCGATAACGATATAAAAACGCCTAGGATAATTGGTGGAAAAAGTAAATTTACTCTTAATACTTGATACAGAAAATCAAAATTGATGTTACATATGTAGATTTAGTGCAAGTACAAAATGTTTTAGAGTACAAAGTGTAGAAAGCTTACATCTAAGGGTAGAGATATCGTCCTAACAAATCTTACTGTTCACTTTCTACCATTATAGTACATTCTTGCACATACTACTTTGAGATCAATTCTGTGACTCAACTCTATTATTTTTGCACTAGTATATGTGATGATTTTGTTGAATAACGTCTTTCCAATATTGTTACGAAACCTAAGTGTTTCATTTACCAGATAGAAAGTATGATATACTGATCTATTTTATTGAATTCTAGTTTAATAATTTGAAATTCACTGAAACAAAGTATTCTCCGAGCTGAAGGGCTTGATTATAAATCTTTCAAAAATAAGGGGATTTCTTGAAGAAGTAGCCTTTCGCAAGAGGATAACTAAATTTTCTCCTCAAATACCTATGGCAACATGTTCTTTCAATGAAAAGATACTGGAAGCTCCACAACTAAACTGTCCATATTACGCAATATAACACCTTCTTAATCCTTATCTTGACCTAGAAATATTCCTAATCATCTGATAATTAAAACTACTTTCATAAATATACATTAGCACTTTATTGACGATTTAATAAACTGATTAATTTTAGAAAGACCGCCAATCAAATTTTAACAATACAAAAGAAATAGTTTTCAAAGTATATTCGTATGCTTTCGGTAACATGAAAATATCTCAGACTGAAAGATTAGCTCCAAAGGAAGTTGTTGTTCGAACACTTAGTCAAAACAACATTTCCAATGATCTGATACCACTGATAAACAATTTTGTAAATATCATCTATCGAACAATTAATCGTAGTGTATTACGTCAATCAAGAATAATCAACTACTTTTCTTTTTCTTGGATAATAGTTTATGGCAAGTTCATAAAAAATTTCTTTTCGAAGAAAACAAATCTAACTATGAAGCGAAATATAGTTTAGTGCTAATTTTTAAACGCACCACATTTCTGAAAAATGATTTGTTCTGTCTATCTTGATGGGAAGCTAGTTAAACAATGGATATTATTCATGTAACCAGCATTACTACATTTCATTCAATTGAAAATACGAATTTCATCAAGACTGAATGTTAGGTAGCATATTTTTTGGAACTACTTATTTATTAAGGGTTCGCCAAATCCAAGGTTCGGTATGAACTAATAAAAACATCCTGAGATTAACGCTACGAGCACAAGTCCTTGGCTTGAAATTCAACAACCTACATTTTTAAAATAAGTTCATCTTAGTACTCAGCCAATGTTATTCAAGACTTAATACCCAATTTAAGACATTCTGAAAAACAATGAAAATATGGAAACTCTCCTTAGTGAAACTGGAAAAAAATAAATTGGAGAAAAGTTGAACAAGTTATTCAAAGAATAAGTTTATAAATATGATCACAATTCATTTATTCATAATACCAACTTATCTAACTACAATCGAACCACAAAAAAGAAGGGTACTAACATACTTTTCTTGATTAGAATGGGCCGTCGTACCACGTGAGTTCTGCATATGATTAGCTGAAGATAACAAAACAGCTTCTAATTTGATTTATCAAAAAACGGGATGAGCATGTTTTGAAACACAGTTATGTCATACATTAATGCAAAAAAGAGTGTACATGAGTACACTTAAGATTCTTTTTTTTACGAAAAAACACACAAATCCAAGTTTTATACAAATTATGGCGGAAAATTTTCCCGGTATTTTGCTTGTTTATTTTGGTTGGCTTTAGTTCCTTGTCATCACTTTTAAAATGTTGAAAATTTGAAATAATTGATTTCGATTGACAATTCATTGATTCTCGTTTGTTTCTTTTGTTACATTTGTTTTTTTCTCTTCTTTTTTCAATTTCTCCTGCATGATATATTAAAAATTATATCGCAAATTTTAACAAACTATGTATATATGCTTACTCACTCTAAATATATGTATATATATGTGTATATCTCTATATACAAACATAAAAACTGAATTACTTAACCTTGTATATTAATACAACTAACTGTGCCTTCGTTTATCAATGCCGTCCAATCTATATAATACCGCAAAATTTATCGAATAACCTCTCACCTTTGCACTGTAACTGGTTGTATTTACACTTACATTACTTTGTAACAACTGTTTGCAATGCATGTATTATATATATAATGATAATTATGGTCATATAAATCGATAAACAAATGGAGTATTTGTTTCGTCCTAGAATGCCAGAACTAATTGGATATCGATCACATGGACCATGTTTGAGTACATCATTGCTTGAGACAAATTTATATTATACAAGTCCAAGGACAATAATGGTATAATTAGAAAAAAATATTTAAGACATTATTTATAATTAGTACTAGTCCAGTAAGGAATAAATAATTTATTGGTGAAGATTTAACAATCTAGTTAACTGTTTCCATGACTGAAATGTAATTTAAAAGATTCATAAACAGTAATTTAAACTTAACTGGTTAAGTTTCTAGTGTTGATGTTACATGTAGTAACTGTTAAACAATTAGTGACAGTATGATATAGATTGTGACTTTCAATATCAAAGATCCATACTGATCTATTATCGTGTTTTAATAAAATTATAAACGATATATTAAATAGATGAAAATTTTATTTTCATTCTGAGACAAAGATTTAATTCAAATAATAAGACGATATTAAATTTATCAATCATAGTGACGTTTATGCATGGAACATGAATGTTTTTGCATGGGTATGATTTTCATTGATTCTATGATATTGAATCCTGTTTAGTGTAACATAAACTGCTAGCTTTCATTGTATACGCTGTATTTCATAGGCAACTATGCTTATTTAGTGCATGAATAAATACATGTACATTTGTAATGTGCTATAAATGTGTCCACATATCGGAAGAAAATGAAAATATTCAAATGATTTAATTGGTATAATAGAAAATATTATATATTTCTTGGAAAGTTATTTATTTCTTAAAAAGTACTACACATAGATACTCTAGCAATATATATTTTTATATATATACACATTCCTTACTGTCACATCATAGTTATCAGGAATTTATTTATAAGCACTTCATTTAGTTCACAGTTTCATATACACACAAAAATGTACATGAACATACAAAATAACATATAATACAAAAAGCTATATGTAAAATGTTGATAGGTTGACATGTTTTATGATTGCATAAAACAAGACCAGGATAAATATTTAACAAGAGAATTATTAAGAAAGTATGAAGTTCTGTAAAAATCTGATATCAATGTGGTATTCAACTAATTGAAAACTGAAACCACTAAATTTGTTGATAACACTTTTTTTAAAAAACAAGACTATGTGATTTAATCCTCTGGCACAAATTTGATTGTTCTGAAACAAAAGCATTCACTGGTAAGTGTTTGTAGAGATGATAGAAATAGAATGTTAGTGGATAGTGTCAATGCGATCCTACTTACTAAGAGTTACTGATTATTTTAAGCCTGAACTATATAACAAAGCATGTGTACATTTGTTATTTGCAATCTTTTAGTTTCTTATAATGTATTTGTATTTTATTTATAGGGCTATGGGAAGGGATTAGTGTATCCTGAAGGGAGTCAAACTTCTGAACTGAGAGGAAGAATCAAACGCCTTTTGTGTCGTTCCCGACGTGATCCTCATTATTATCGTTACCTACCAACAGGTGTCGTATAAACAAACGTTTCACTGAATCCATACACTTGGTGTTTGAAGTGAATAATATTATGTTATAATAAACTGCATGCTTATTGAAATCTATAATCCCTTATTTCTGTTTCTCATGTTGTTTTTTTTGTTAATTACTTTGTTGAACTCTTATTCTGTCCTTTCTAATTACAATTATTCCAATTATTATTATTATGCTAAGTCACTTCAACAAATAATAATTAATCAATTTAGAATACGATTTTAATATTTTTATCGCTTTTAACTAATTTTCTCCCGATTGTTTATTGCTTGAATATGGTTTTACTTACTTTTTAATGATGTGAATTTGAATGAATTATAGAAAAGTATAAAGAATGATATTTAGTACTGACAGTTTTTCTAAAGTACAAAAGGCTTCACCTAATGTTGACAATGTGTATTAATTAAATAAATTAAATAAATCTCACTACATATATATTTAAACACTCTGTTTTTGATAAAAGATGATTAAAATTTTAGATGAAATAATTCAGAAATGTTCACAGATTATATAATAACCAGAGTGATGGATGAATAAATTGATTTGGAGATGATACCGTTTGGTTTGTAGACGGACTCAAGCGAGAATAAGATTTATGTTTAGTACTTACAGGTTTCTCCTCCATTTGTGAGAAAATGGTTTCAGCCTGAATTGGAGAGACTTGTTTCGTGACAGTCACTGACTAGTGGCCAATCAAATTTTATGTGCGTTACAGCACCTTACTTATGTTGGCTTAATTGATTAGTTGTTTAAATAATTTGATAACAGTAATGAATTCTATAATTGTATCGATCATCGTGTATTTTAAATAATAAAGGGATTATATCGACTACTCGCGTCTTATAGTAATAGTTGTCAGGACGGCGGTACGCGAAGCTTAGGAATATAACAAATATCCACTGCCAGAACGTCAGGTCCTTAGTACTGGTTGAATTATACTAATCATGTAACTTACAAGTGCCAGGTAGGATGAAACCTAGGTCCAGGACTTCCAGTCGACTGGATTCAACCACTGTTCTAAGTAAAGATATAAAAAATAGATAGGGTGGAAACGAGGGACAGTATTCAACAGTGACAGGAAAAAAAATCTTGTAACTTGGAAAAAATAAGCAGATGACTACTGACTTGAATAATATAAATAGTATTAAAAATGGCTTTGTTCGATATTATGCGCTTGATATAATGTGGATTTCTCAGCAAGGAATATTTCAACAAGTTACCTTTACAAAACCAACAACTGCATATACAAATACATTGGAGAATTAAGTGAAAATTATCAGGAGCCAAATTAAATGTCGCTTTTCGCATGATAAGAATCTAAACAATTTTTTAATTTGGAACATAGGTTTCTGACTAGATCAGTTCTCACATGTTTATCGCATTGTTTATTAGCTAAATGAGGTATCGGTGAGATATCTTTATCGTTACGAAAATAAATAAATCGTCATGACTAATTCCTTTTAATAATAACTTTAGAACGTATTATTTTGGGTCTGCTAAACCTGCCGTATAAAATTAAATGCAAAAATAATCAAGCTTCTCGACAGCGGTTCATAGTTCAGAGACGTGAATCGAAAGACAGTTTATATTCTGGGGTAGACCCGTTACGCATTAAAAGTAATTAAAAAATCTTAGATTTTTGTTGATCTAATTCACTATTCCCAGTTAATATGAGACCGAGCTGGTGACACTTAGGATCAGGTGCAAAACTAACATATGAGTACAGCTAGGAAATGCATTTTACCGAAAAGAATTTACTAGTAATGTGCTAGTGGTAGTATATTGTTGTATTTTCTCCGAATAATGATGCCAGAGACTTCAACTAATTAGTATAGAGGTAGTAAAATTTTCGATATATATATATATATATATATATATATATATATATATATATATATATTTTACAGGACTAAACAAACGGTGAAGAGATATTTGCTAATTTTAAACACTATCAGCATCTACGATTGAGCTCAGTCTTGCTAACTTGAGAAATAGGTATTCATTATGGTGAATATTGTTGGGCTGTTAGAAAGGTGAAATCATTACTGAATACAGGAAAAGCATCATATGAGTGTTATACTATGGACTAGTGTTGTAGCTTAGTTGTCAAGGTGTTTGAATTTCAACTGGTTTATCAAATATTTGAACTTTGAGATATTTACTTTACTCTGGGCAGCTACCCGACCGTAGCTGCTACCTTGACGTGGTGGGCGGGCTTGCCTATCGTGATGACCCAACCGAGCTATATTTGCTGGAACATATATTCCTGTAGGTTCTACAATGCCAGATAGGTCGATTGGAGAATGATGAGACAAGAAGCAGCTACAGCCAAGCTGATAAAAAGCCTACGGGATGATCGTGAACAGTGGTGAGTAGCGAAAGTGAGAGAGATGGAAAAGGCAACGGCGATAGGAAACTATTCAGACTTATCAAGGAAACTGGTATTAGGAACCCGAATGTGAGTAAGACTGTTTCGGTAAAGGATGGTCTTATTATCCATTCTCAATCTAGCAGACTGGATCGATTGGCAGAACACTTAAGGGATCAGTTCAACTGACATTCAGCCACACTTCGGTTAACCACGATGTCCAACCATCCTGAATGAGAAACCTACACAAGTCCTCCAAATCTTTATGGAGTTGAGAAAGCTATAGAAAATCTGAAGCGAGGAAGTGCTGCGGGGCCTAATAAATTGACCCCTGAGATATGTAAGGATGGTGGTGCAGTTTTGGCAGCTAGATTGACAGAGATCTCAGATAGAATCTGGGAACTGGACACAATCCTATCCGACTGGTCTCAATCCCTGATTGTGCCATTTTATAAAAAAGGACAAAAGTGCTCTCGTGACAATCATAGGAGAATCAGTTTAACTAATATGGTTTCTAAATTGTTAGTCTCGATTGTACTTAGACGCCTAACGAGAGCTCATGAAGAGCAGACTAGAGAAAACGAGGCTGGTTTTTAACCTAAACGTGGATGGAGAGACCAAATATTCGCACTAAATCAGGTCCTAGAACAAAGACACTCGTTCAGACGCCCCACACTAGTAGTATTTCTCGACATTAGGGCAGCATTTGACTCTGTCGATCGTGAGGTCCTGTGGCAGTGTCTGTCTTGAAAAGGTGTACCAGAGAAGTACATTAACCTTATAAAGGCACTCTCCTCCAACACCAACGGTCGAGTTAGATCTTATGGCGAACTATCATCGGAATTGGTTACTTCAAGTTGTGTCCGTTAGAGATGTACACTCTACATTCTTGTTTGATTTTATCTTAGACTTACTTTTAGGGTTAACATTATCATCGTCTAACTTTCCAGGAGTGGATGTTCTGTCTAGAGACACGCTTGCTAACTTAGAATATGCCGATGACATGGTCTAACTTGGTGAAGACGCTGACAAAATGCAGTATTCTACCTTAAGTAATAATCTAAGCATGTTCGAGGTGCGATTCTGCTTGGCCAAATGCAAAATGTTGCTTCATGATTGGGTTGCATAGGCACCTGAACTAGTAATAGGGAGTGAAGTAGTCGAGCGTGTAGACCACTTCACTTATCTAGAGAGTTTCATCACTGTTGATGGCCTGGTGACTGACGAAATCTCAGTACGGATACAGAAAGCGCGACTGGCTTTTGCCAACTTGCATCACTTATGACGTAGGCGAGATATCCGTTTGCTAACAAAAGGACGAATCTCTTGCACAGTAATTCACAGTCCTACTTTATGGCTGTGAAACATGGCCAGTCAGAGTAGAAGATATTCATAGGTTACTGGTTTTCGATCATAGGTGTTAGAGTATTGTGAGAAAGCCGAGTAAGCAATGCTGTTTTCAGGTAACGTGTGTTAGGTAAGGATGGCAGATCAATTGATGAAGTAATGAAAACCCATCAGTTGAGGTGGCTGGGACATATGTTGCGTATGGCTAACCACCGACTGCCTCGTCCAGCTATGTTTTGCGATATAGGAACAGCTTGGACGAAAGCTAAGGGAGGCGAGACCAAAACATGACACAAATCTATGAAGTCACTCACGAGTGGACTGAGTCATGTTGGGATTTGAATTGACAGTTATATCTCTGTGCTAATGTGATATGGCAACATGAACTAATATATGAAGTGCTACGTTGTAACTGACTGACTGGACAGCTGAGTAACGTATGGCTCGAAGTAGAATTACATAATCGTGTACTACTTGCCAATTAAATTTTACTGATTTCACAACAGCTAAAAAGAACAAGCAAAACAATGATAAAACAGATTTTGCTGCAAAAAGAAGCATGTAAGAAAAAAAGTATTTTCTGAATAGTGTTACTAGAGCATGAAATTGTACAAAAATTACAGCCAGAAAGTAATTGACACAATCACGGTGAGTGATATGAATAGTTAATACAATACGATATATTTCATGTACAGCAGAATATCGCACAGTACTACTGTAACGGTTGAATTAATAATCTATACCTAGTTCATAAATAATGAAAAGTGGCAAAGATCAAAGGAAAATTAATCAAGCTATAACCACATTCACGACAAATTTATCCAGATGCAATAACTGAGGGATGAGTGCAATTGTTACTTGATATTGGATACTGTAAAAAGAAAAATAAGAAGAGGAATATGACGTTAACAATCATATATAAAATAATATTTTCTTTAAGACGTTAAAACAGTAGTATGATTGATAGCAAGGTTACATTTGAATGAATAAAAAGTTTTTCAAGTGATTGTATTGTAATACAAAAGAAAAACTGAATATAACAAAAACAGATTTATACAAAATTTAATAACCATTAATTAACATTTACCAGCTGAAGTTTAGGTAGACTTGAAGAAAATAATTTTATTATACTTTGTTTAAATGAGACGACAATTTTAACCAACATAACATTTACCTTCGAATTCTTTGAAACCATAGATAATAAATATCCTCATTTCAAATAATCACTTAGTTTGTAGGAGAAAAGATAAATCTAGAAAGTTATTTATATTAAAACTACATAAAGCATTTATAAAGAAATGAAACTTTTATTCCAGTTTGCTTTGTAGTATTTGTTATGAAATGTATAGTCTTTTAAATTGATTTATAAGCTGTAGAATAAAACGTTAATAACCGACTAGTAAATAAATGGAGAATAAGTTGATCTGCTATCAATCTAGTTAGTGACAAACAACGACGAACTACTTTAAAAAGAGTGCTAACCATTAAACTATTTCTAGCTAAATTGTTGATAATTTAAACCACTCACTGAACTTATCAATGTCTAAACAAACAAGATAAATCCCGACATCCTTGTAGATCCTCGACTTATATATAATTACGTAGTCAAAAAAAGCCAAACACTCATCAGATTACATAAAAGTTGATTAAATGTAAACGTTTAGTGTATTTAGAACAATTAGACCCCACCTGAAGAATAGCAACATGTGGATCGTCCATATCACCCATGTCAATGACATCTTGTTTTGAGTTTCTTATTTTGGCATTCTCTATTATATAATAATATTTTGGTGAAGAAATACCAAGACTCCATGCCAATCTTTCCCCACACCAATCAATAATGCGCAATAGAACATTACTAGAATTGGACTGATAACATGAAAACAAAACAGGTACAGATGTAAGAAAATTCATCAAATATTTTATTCATCATTCAAAAAACTTATAGAGTCAATTCAAAATGTTGTGAGAAAGCGTTGTTCATAATTTGTAACGTATGTCTTAAAATAGTGTTTGAGTTTACATTATTACAACTGAAATCGTTATCATTTGTAAGTAGTAATTTGAAAAAGTTCATTATTTGACCGGTATCATATAGTGATCATGTTTTCGCTTTGCGCCGATGTGGATATTTGATTTCATTAAATAAATCATGGTATGAAGATTCTGAACATGTAGCATATCGTCTCGTTAGAGGTGGTAGCTCAATTATATAGCACTACTTCTCATTATTGATAACAGGAAAAGTCTTGTGATGATAGGGAACCAAGAATTACACCAGACGAAAGCTAACTGTGTAGAATTGATCTTAAGCGTCGTCATTGTAGTCGTTGGTAGGTGCACAGCATTGGATGACGTTCATTGTAAAGCCCTCTTTCTTTGTTTTGAGGTATGGTTTGATGATCCAGGGTCCATGATATTCCCATCCTATCCGTGCCATTTGCGCTTGTTTGGGCAACATCAGTGCGAATCCTTGAGTATATATGAGGCATTTTCTTCATCATGGCCGGAGTACAAAAGCAGCTTTCCTGAAGATAGTCTTAGTTGTCCAACTTGCGTCCAATGCGCTCGACTGATTTCAAACACTTCCAGGTTGTATCTTTGCATTTCTTCAGCAACTTGGAATAGTCTTTCAGTCTCCCACAAGGTTCGGACATTCTATGTACCTGAAAAAATAGTTGCTCTGGTTGTCGGAAGGGACATCGTTCTCGTGACTTCCGAAGGAACTCGGCTCTCATCACGAGGCATCATAACTCCTCTGAATGAAGACTTTCTAACTCGCAGGTCAGAGGTAGAATGGTGTGAATTATTTTTTCTTGTTAGCGTTTTACTATCGAGTTAGTTTTAAACTGGATGGGGTCGCCAACCCCGACCTTCCTCCTGAATTCCGGCATGAGACCGGCAGGAACTATATGACAAGAATACGAAGATAAAAAGGTACAGTTAAGATAAAACAAAACTTTTGATTATCTCATAGGCATCGTATCCTTTACGACGAATAAAACACAAAACCACCGTAAAATGAGTGGCAACATCTGAAAATAGTCACGTTCGAGCAATCTTCAGATCTCCATCATGAGAATTACGATTTTCCTTGAAACTTTATCATAAATCATAAGCACTATTTTTGGATATCTTGAGAGGCAGGTAGTTTGATATCAATCATTTTTAACCAACAAGTGATAGGTTTGAACCTCGCATTCACCTACTTTACTCTGAGCATCGATCGTGAGGTTCTGCGACAGTGTGTGTTATTAAAAGGTGTACCAGAGAAGAACGCTAACCTTATACTAGCACTGTACCCAAACACTGGTCGAGTGAGAACTTATAGAGAACTGTCATTAGAATTGATTACTTCAAATAGTATACGATAGAGATGTCCAATTAACCCACTCTCGTTTAACTTAGATACGACATTAGCATCATCTGACTATTTTCCGACCGTAGCCGTCACCTTGACGAGATGGTCGGGGTTGCCTATCGTGATGACTCAAACGAGCTATTTTGGCTGCAACATATGATCCTGTAGGTTCTAAAATACCAGGCAGGTCGATTGGAGAATGATGAGACTACAAGCAGCTAATCAAGGTCTGTGGGCGAAGTCGTACTATTGACTGCAGAGAGGTGTGAACGCAGTAAGGTGTTTTCCTCCAACAACCAGCATCTGAAGCGATGCTGCCTTCTCACAAGGAAGGAAAAGTTAAAGAAGGTCGACGGTAAAAATGTGAAACCTCATTCTACCTCAAGGATTTCCGTCTCCGGTAAGGGCTGCCCAATAGGAGCCTACAAGTAATAATTTAGGAATGTTTGGGATGCAGTTCTCACACTTGAAATGCAAAATGTTGCTTCATGATTGGGTTGCATAGGCACCTGAACTAGTAATAGGGAGTGAAGTAGTCGAGCGTGTAGACCACTTCACTCATCTTGAGATCCTCATCAGTACCGATGGCCTGGTGACTGACGAAATATCAGCACGGATACAGAAGCCTTGATTGGCTCTTGACAACTTGCGTCAATTACGGCGTAGGCGAGATATCCGTTCGCTAACAAAAGGACGAACCTCCTGCACAGTAATTCGCAGTCCTACTATATGGACGCGAAACATGGCCAGCCAGAGTAGAAGATTTCCGTAGGTTACTGGTTTTCGATTATAAGTGTCTCCGAAGCATTGCTCGCAGATCCTGGGACAACAGAGTAAGCAATGCTGCCATTAGGAAACGAGTAATAGGTAGGGATGGCAGATCAATTGATGAAGTAGTGAAACTCAATGAGTTGAGGTGGTTGGGACACGTGTTACGTTTGTCTAACTACTGACTGCCTCGTCCAGCTATGTTTTTCGATATAGGAATAGCTTGGAGGACAGAGAGGCGCAGCCAGACCTAAACATGGCACAAATCCATGAAGTCACTCACAAGTGGACTGAATCATGTTGGTAGATGTAGGCTACCTGGTCGGTGTCCGCGAAACGAAAGTCACCAATCGTTAGAGACCTTGAACGACATGGCTCAAAATCGTTTGCCATAGCGCAGGTGCATCCACTTTTTGTGTTCTCTCAAATTCTAACCTTCTGAATTCTTCACCATCTCTATCTTTCGCTTTCTAAATATCACTGAATTATATTTCTCAAATCATATCTTTGAACCCTAATCTTCTCCGCTACTACTAACACTTCTACTTTCACTACCACTATTGGGTTTGAATTGACAATTATATCTCTGTGCTAATGTGGTATGGCAACATGAACTGTTGTACTTACGTACGAAGTTCTACGTTGAATCTGACTGACTGACTCTCAGTGCTAATGCGGTATGGCAACCTGAACTGACGTACGTATGTACGAAGTTCTGCGTTGTAACTGGCTGACTTATTCACCCCACATTTGAGTGCATAGATCTCAACTTCAGAAATGATTTGCAGTAGTTTGATTTCGGAAGTGCTAGTAAAATACTTAAAAAGGAAAGCAAACTCACCGTAATAGGACACTCTTCATTGTGCTCATCGGTAAAATTAAAAATACCATCACTAAAGTGCAAGGGTTGAGATGAGTTTCCACCAAACTGTTGATCATCCATTACTAATCTGGAACGTTATGTATGGATAAAGGTAGAATAAGAGCAAGGCTCAACGACTGGCTGCTGAAAAATTTAAATCAGAAGATTAATGTTTTTTCACGACACTTTAAATGCAAATAACTGTACGTATAACTTTCACTAACTAATGCCTTAATATGGTTCTATACTGTCTTACCTAGTAAGGTATTTCGAAAGCTTACGCAGTGTCAAATAAATGACAGGTATTTTTTTAGCATACATTTAGACTTTAAAAGACAACAATGTTTAAAAAAAGGATTGGCTGATACATCATTAAGAGGCCATTTATCAACAGTTATCAACTAGATCATTAAATCCCCGTCATCTAGAAACTCTTCATCCTGGTGACTTGTTAATCCTGATCTAAATTTGCTTAGGTAACAAACAGAACCTTACAATAAACTAAAAGTATAGTTTAAGGTAGTAGTATTATAGGATGATACTCGACGACCTTACTGTTACTAAGCCTACCAGAAATGCAAGATCTTACTGTGGTGTCCATGTTTCAGGTTATTAAGGATTTTCCACATTTTTGGAAACACTAGAAAACAAAGGAAACCAAATAACGGATAAACCGATCAACTTAGAGCTAAGCAGGAAGATTGTTAGAACGAAAAGAACTGAGGTAGCACTAATATCACTACTGTTACAGAAAATAACATGAAGGGATGGCGATACACAACAAATTACCCTCCTATCTGATCGCACTGTTGCCTGTACGTTGTTGTCTAATGATAAACAAAAGGCATCGAAGTGAAAATATAATAAACCATCATTGCATTGAGTTTAAGCTGTCAATATTATCAGCTCTAAATCACATGATCAGTTAATATTTGCATTTATTTTTCTTATAAATATGTATTTTCCTTCATGATATTATTCTTCCTTCATTCTTGCTTTCATGGATAGATGCAACAGATCTATGCAAAATGAGGATAATTATTATTAATTAATCAATCAAGAGCAGCGTAGAACTTCGTACGTATATCGATTCAAGTTGCCATACTACATTAACACAGAGATATAATTTAAGAGAACACAAAGAGTAGATGCACCTGCGCCATCGCAAACGATTTTGAGCCATGTCGTTCAAGGTCTCTAACGATTGGTGACTTTCGTTTCGCGGAAACCGACCAGGTAGCCTGCATCTACTAATATGACTCAGTCCACTTGTGAGTGACTTCATGGATTTGTGCCATGTTTTGGTTTGGCTGCGCCTCTCTTTCCTCCAAGCTATTCCTATATCGAAAAACATAGCTGGACGAGGCAGTCAGTAGTTAGGCAAACGTAACACGTGTCCCAACCACCTCAACTCATTGAGTTTCACTACTTCATCAATTGATCTGCCATCCCTACCTATTACTCGTTTCCTAATGGCAGCATTGCTTACTCTGTTGTCCCACGATCTGCGAGCAATGCTTCGGAGACACTTATAATCGAAAACCAGTAACCTACGGAAATCTTCTACTCTGGCTGGCCATGTTTCGCGTCCATATAGTAGGACTGCGAATTACTGTGCAGGAGGTTCGTCCTTTTGTTAGCGAACGGATATCTCGCCTACGCCGTAATTGACGCAAGTTGTCAAGAGCCAATCAAGGCTTCTGTATCCGTGCTGAGATTTCGTCAGTCACCAGGCCCTCAGTACTGATGAAACTCTCGAGATAAGTGAAGTGGTCTACACACTCGACTACTTCACTCCCTATTACTAGTTCAGGTGCCTATGCAACCCAATCATGAAGTAACATTTTGCATTTCGCCAAGCAGAATCGCACCTCGAACATCCTTAGATTATTACTTAAGGTAGAAGACTGCATTTTATCAGCGTCTTCACCAAGTTGGGCCATGACATCGGGCTATTCTAAGTTAGCAAGCGTGTCTCTTGGCAGAACGTCCACTCCTGAAAAGTTAGACGATGATAATGTTAACCCTAAAAGTAAGTCTAAGATAAAATCAAACAAGAATGTAGAGAGTGTACATCTCTAACGGACACAACTTGAAGTAATCAATTCCGATGATAGTTCGCCATAAGATCTCACTCGACCGGTGGCGTTAGAGGAGAGAGCCTTTATAAGGTTAATGTACTTCTCTGGTACACCTTTTAAAGACAGACAATGCCACAGGACCTCACGATCGACAGAGTCAAATGCCGCCTGAAGTTCCAAGAAGTTAACTATTGTCAGATTATTATGAAGACTAAATAAACTATCTCGATATCTTCGTGCTAAGGAGTGTACTTACCATCAAGATAAAGCACCTACCGCGACCTAACTAATAAAGTTACGCCATGTATGCTAATCTTAATTCTTTATAGATTCAAAGGTCTATAGTTGATTTCTTCAACCTGGAACTATTGTTTTCGTAAATAACAACTGATTCAATAAGAAATCCTGTTCAACCTCGGTTTATACGTACGACTTCAAACTTCCTTACCAATCTGTTATTGAGTTTGTTTGGACTCATCGGTAGCAGACAAAATGGGGTTGTGAACTGTGCGACATGATGAAAATCCCGACCTTTACAAGCTCTTTGAGGTTATGGAGATATAGAATGGAATGATACCTATTTTTTGTGCCCAATAAATAACATATTTACTTTAACTTTGAAGGGAGGTAAATTTCTACTGAATTTAAACCGGAGGTAGTAGGACCCACCAGTGATTCCTTCCACAATTTTACTTTCCAATAGCAGATATAACTTAGATATCATTTAGAAGGGTTTCAAATACTGGAAGGAATTCGTCGCAACTCCATGTAACGTGAATAGCGATAAGACCATTACTTATGGACAGAACAAACAGATTTAAGTTATTCAGTATTGGTTTTAGCGCAAGTTTCCTTTACTTACGTGGCTGAATGAAAGTTTTTCACTGAAGTTTGTCCCTGATGAAGACTCTAACTCAGTAACTTGGAGAAACGGCTGAAATTTATTGTGAACCCAATAAATATAAAAGTACAACAAATATTGAACACCCAAACTTGTTATTGGCGCTCAAAGAGTTATGATGACCATGTCCTTAAAGGCCAAAAAACCCGCTACATATCAGTGAACTATAAAATGAAATCTTACTACATATATAGTAGGAGGTTTAAATAATGAGACGTAATTTAATTAACTACTTTTTCAAAGCATATAGGATTTCATGTATCAATCGGATAATTTAGGGAACTGTTCAACATACCCTTCGATCGTCTTTAGAAGACATGTAAGGATATTATGTTAGAACTTATTCCGTATTTTAGGTGTAATGGGTTGGTTGTGTTGATTTTCTCGACATTACTAACACTTTAAAAAACCCTACGGACCACCACAAATGTCGGCAATATGATTTTACATAAACCAGCGCATTTTAGCTCCACTGTTTGGTGAGCCTGAACGTCTGAACAACCCTCACACTCTTTTTAAACTTACTAACTGATCTTATAGAAGTTTGTTCATTTTGTATTTAGTGACTGACGATTGTGTGCCCTGTGCTTTAACAACAACAACCGTGATTAGTTAACGCCGGCAATATATTTTTCCAGTCGTTAGAGTTTACTTATGAAACGAGATTGCTCGAATGCTGAAAAAAATACGAATCAGTGAGATCACACGTTGCACATTAATATCACTTTTCTGTCTGAAGCACCAGTGTCTCAAACTAGTGGTGCAAGTTCGTGTTTGGGATGTTAAGATGTCTTCTTTGATCTTAAACGAAACCATTTGGTCGATTATAAGGTTTTATGATTGTAATTTTAATTACTCTGATTAACAGTCATTCAATTGGTAGGAATTCAAAAGCTAATATAATGACAAATTACCAGTCGGCGCTCTCGGGTTGTACATTATTATTTCAGATTACAAAAGCTGTAAAGAATAATTTGTCTACATAAACTGTTCGGTTTAAGGTTACCTGGTGTGATTAAAGTTCATCTAACTGAACCTCATGTTACAGGAAATTCAGTCACTAGAGCTAGAATAGTATTAAGAAGGTTTATTTGACTAAATAAATTATCGTAACATAAGCTACAGGTTTATTTACGACTTATTAGCAGATACTGTTATCTGATAAGGACCCTAAGGTTCTTGAGATGGATCTGACTCAATTCGACAGTAAAGAAAAGAATGAAGGTAAGCTGACAAATATTTCGTTTGTACTTCCACTTGGAGCTGGAAACATATACCAGAAAGATGAGAAGTGATTAGTAACAAATGATATATAAAAGATACTTAACCTTCCCAGTGTAACATATACAAAAATCATTCGCTTGTACTGGTGTAATTTTCCACGAAAATTGTGGAGTGAGTGGAAAGCGAAAGGGCTGTTTCAAAAAAAACACTTTACCATTCAGTATCACAATATGTCACTTATAATGTCAGCACATAATAGGTGAGTAACTGACCATTTTATTCATCATGTTACAACGACTAACCTTTGAACAGCTAACGTGGGTTGCTACAAGGAGACCCTAAATGATATTGATTTTAGATTTTGGATGGTGTTCAATACCCCAGGAGAGTATACAACCCCAAGAAAAAGAGTTTAAAAAACGACGTTACCGTTTTAAATTACTCGTAAATCAAAATTTTGGCCGTAAGCATAAACGATAGGCCAGATTTATATTATGATGATATTTTATATGTGTATTTAGTGAAGTTATACTGTTCGAAACCTCTTTTCATGTGTAGTTCAAATGGGAAATCCCACAGACGAATTTCAGAACTGTCGTGAAGCAAAAGCGATTAGATGTTTACAAAGTCCTACTGAGTAGAATACTAAGTTTCCTGTATTTCGTGGTCGATCGAATGTCACTGCTTCTGAGAATACATATACAAAAGACTGAATAAATTGATCTATTATTTGAGAATTACTGCAGCTTATTACATTATTATTATTATTATTATTATTATTAAAACTTGGTTTTCATTCAAAAGCCATTAGGATTTCTTTCAACTTCTCAGAAGCCAATCAGAGGAATGTTTTCGAGCGACAGTTTTCTGCTTCATAGGCGCAGTAGTATTTATGGGAACCAGCTTTGGATACCTAAGAGTGCACTAGCATGTTTGCTCATACAGTGGATGAATAGGTATGTGTTAACATGTATGGAACGTATGTGCCGTTTACTTAAACTGTCCTGGCCTCGCTACAGTGTGCCCTCGCTTCTCCGAAAGCGCTTAACTGCGTCACAAGACAGGCTCTCACTTATAACCCTTAGGGTCAAAGGAAAAGAAGAAGGCCAAGGAACACATTACGCCGATAGATGAAGACAAATATGGGAAGAATGGATAAACATTGGACGCAACTGGAAAAGGGGGCTCAGGACAGAGCAGGTTGGAGAATACCGGTCGAACGTCTATACCCCATTGAGGGTAACAGGTATAGGTGAGTAGTTAGGGAAGAAATGTGACTAGACATGAGGCGTCATAAAAAGGTATGTTCTTTTTTTATCAGAAAAAATTATTTATTTGTTTAATAAAGGAGTAGCTATAATTTCATAGTGGTTCGCCCAGAATAATGCCAAGCATATTGCGAACGAAAACAGAGAGAGTTCAGTTGAAAATGCCTCACCAATGTTTTGCAAACCTCATTTATCTGAGAGTATCTGCAGCTAAATTACAGTATTATGTCTATTTCACAGTTGTCTAAACAAATATATTTGGGATTTCCGTATAATTCTCTATGGTGGGTTTCAGTAATATCGGGCTGGTGAATAATGGTATTTCTGTTCCACTGTCCAGTATTCAGGAAAATAACGAGTGAATGCAATATTTAAAATCGACCATCAC